TTCTACACCTGCTTTGTCTTCAGCAATTGTGTCGGGAAGGTGAGCCTCATGGAATGCCAGTTTAATAGAACAAAGTATTCTTCCATTGAGGGAGTACTGTTCTTCAATACTTTAAAGAGATCTTGTGTAGCAGATGTGCCCAATGCACTACGTCGTTTGATTTATTAACTGCTGCTTCCATGAGCATTGAGGGTGGATCCACACAAAATAAAATCCTTGGCAACCTCAAACTTTTCATTTATTATGATATTGTCTAATAGTCCAGTTGTGAAGATTTTGGCTTTGTTTATATTGAATTGCAATCCATACTGAAGGCTGCAGTCCCTGACCTTCATCACTAAGTGTGTCAAGTCCTCTTCACTTTTGCCAAGCGAGGTTATGTCATCTGTATGTCACAGGATGTTAGTAAGCCTTCCTCCAATCCTCCATTGCTCAGAGCTCTCCACTGCTGTACTGCTGCAGCCATTTTTTAATATCTCTAGCAAAATTTACTTGCATGTGATACTAAGAGTATTGTTTGATAATTTCCACATTCTGTTGGGTCACCTTTCTTTGGAATGTGGACAAATCGGAATCTTCCAGTTGGTTGGTGAGGTTGCTGCCTTCCAATTTCTTGTAATAGACCAGCAAGTGCTTACAGCACTTCATCAACTTGAAGAAACATTCCCATTGGTATGCTGCTGATTCCTGGCACCTTGTTTTAGCTAAGGTCTTTAATGCAGTTTGAATTTCTTCCTTTAATACTTATTCATATATTTCCTTTTGATATGGTTGAAAATCATCAAATTCCTCTTGGTACAGTGACTCTGGAAATTCCTTTGATCTTTTAAAATATGTTAAGCTTCTTTCAATATTATGCCCATGGACTCCTTCAATATTGCAACTCGAGGTTTGAATTGTTTTCAATTCTTTCAGCTAGATATATGGTAAACGTGTTCTTCCTTTCTAGCTTGTCTTTGAAATTTTAGTTATACTTCTCTCTTCCCACAGAGTAAATTTGATTCCCGTGTATTTCATCTAGTAAAGTCCATGTTGTTGTTACAAAGTTCTTATGCTATCTTCAGCTTTGTTTGTATTGCCAAGGCCTTATTTTCCAACTACTATTCTTTCCTCTCTGTTTCCAACTTGTTGGTTAATTCAACAATGTAAGTAACATTAAAAATTTTTTAATTTACTAGTAAGGTATGAAATTTTATTTTCATATTTGAATTAGTTGAAAATTCAAATTACTGATTTCCCAAGTTTGAAATGGATCTTCATTTAAAGAAAGATTAAAAGCGAGATTCTCTTTTTAAGCCAATTACTGTGCTAAGCATCCACTATATTAAAAAACAGAACAAAACAATGACAACCCTCACTTCCTTGGAAGCAATTCTGACTCATAGTGACCCACTGAATACTTGATAAAAATACAGTCCTCCTCTAAAATAATTTCAATTTATTCAAAGGAGTAAGATATATCAGATGACTATGAGTCAGAATCTACTTGATGGCACTGGGTTGGGTTAAGATATATGTGCTAAGTGTTGTAAAAAGTCAATGATATACAT